GATCTAGTTATTATATATTTTGACAGCTGAATCTAACAATAAAGGTAAATAAAAATAAATAAAACAGTGTGGGGTTCCCCCCCAGGATCCATACCAGACCCTTATCCGAGCATGCAGCCCGGCAGGTCAGGAAAGTGGGGGGGGGATGAGCGATCGCCCCCCCCCCCTCCTGAACCATACCAGGCCACATGCCCTCAACATGGGGGGTGCTTTGGGGAAGGGGGCTCTGAGTGACCCCACCCCATGTTGATGTCACATGGGGTGGGATCGCATGCGTGATGTCCCAGGGTAGCCCCGCCCCTTACATATTTAAGAGCTGTCACCCAGACTCGCAGCAGAAGACTGGCAGCCTCCGTCGGACACGGAATCTTTTTTTTTTTTTTTCGGTCGCCGGCGCCGGGCTTCGTGATTGATGTTGGATTTACTTCGGGGGGACATTCTTTGAGATTTTTATTTTATTAAAGGACTTGTCAAAGACCGTGTCCTGTGTTTTTTACACTACACTCTGTTTTTTTTTTGTGAATGAGTAGCGTTACCATGTACCCCATACTCATTCACGTGGGGGGGCGGGATCTGGGGGCCCCCTTGTTAAAGGGGGCTTCCAGATTCTGATAAGCCCCCCGCCCGCAGACCCCCACAACCACCGGCCAGGGTTGTGGGGCAGAGGCCCTTGTCCCCATCAACATGGGGAGAAGGTGCTTTGGGGGGGGAGCCCCCCTGCCCCAAAGCACCCCCCCATGTTGAGGGCATGTAGCCTGGTATGGTTTAGGAGGGGGGCAGGCTTGTATGGTTGCTCGTCCTCCCGCCTTTCCTGACCTGCCGGGCTGCATGCTCGGATAAGGGGTCTGATATGGATTTTGGGGGGGGAACCCATGCCGTTTTTTTTTTTAATTTTGCGTTGGAGTTACCCCTTAATATCCACACCAGACCCGAAGGGCTTGGTGTGGATAGGGGGGGGACCACACACCATTTTTTAAATTCTTTTTTTAATTCCCTACAATCCTTTAACATTCAGGTGTCAGTGGTGAACTCCGCCGACAGCTGAAACATGAACGCTGCATTGGTTTTTCACTACTAAAATGCTGCATGACTTGATAAAATAACTCATGCAGGATTTTAGGAGCGACAACCATGTGTTAATGTTTCAGCTGTCAGCGGGGTTCCCTACTGACAGCTGGATGTTTAAGAATTTTTGTAAATTAAATAAATAATAAAAAAAATGGTGTGGGGTCCCCCCTTCCATCCATACCAAACCCTTCGGGTCTGGTGTGGATATTAAGGGGGTAACTCCACTCCAAAAAAAAAAAAATGCCAGACCCTTATCCGAACATGCAGCCCGGCAGGTCAGGAAAGGGGGGGATGAGCGAGCGCCGCCCCCTCCTGAACCATACCAGGCCACATGCCCTCAACATAGGGGGGTGCTTTGGGACGGGAGGCTCCCCCCCCAAAGCACCTTGTCCCCATGTTGATGGAGACAAGGGCCTCTTCCCCACAACCCTGGCTGGTGGTTGTGCAGGTCTGCGAGTGGGGGGCTTATCAGAATCTGGAAGCCCCCTTTAACAAGGGGGCCCCCAGATCCCACCACCCCCCAAAGTGAATGAGTATGGGGCTCATGGTACCGCTACTCATTCACAAAAAATCTAAAAGTGTAGTGTAAAAAAACACAGGACACGGTGTTTGACAAGTCCTTTAATAAAATAAAAATCTGAAAGAATGTCCCCCTGAAGTAAATCCAACATCAATCATGAAGCCCGCCTCCGGCGACCTGAAAAAAGACAAAAAAAAAAAAGGTTCTGTGTCCGATGTAGGCTGCCAGCCTTCTGCTGCGAGTCTGGGTGACAGCTTTTAAATATGTAAGGGGCAGGGCCACTCGGGGACATCATGTGAGTGACCCTGCCCCATGTGACATCATTGATGTCACATGGGGTGGGATCAAGTTTTCTGTAACTTCGGGGAAAGTGATACATAAGCTTGTGAACTATAGTGAAGAACAAAAAAGGCTGCCATTTGCATTTAAAAATCAGCGCCGACATACACTTTGTATTGCGAAAAAAAAATATAAAAAATTGTGTAAAGCGAGGCATTATTTTCAATGGCTTTTCATTTGAAAACCGAAAATTACATTAACCGAGGCGTTCGTAAACCGAGCTACTCCTGTATTAGTATTGCAATCCTTTGTATTGGGATACATAGAACCAACATGCATGTGAATTGGCAACATAGTACAACATTTGTGTCACATTTGAGATATCTGGCTAGTTACACTGACCTTGCCCAGGGACTTAGGGTTGATTCACACCACAGAAATACAAGCTGGATTAGCGTTACAGCTCCATGGATGAGTGGTTAGCATTACTGCCTCACAGGTCTAGGGTTGTTGGTTTGAATCCCAACCACAGCAATGAATTTGCATGATCACCCTGTGTGACTACCCTACCATAGATGTGCTGGTGGCAGCATCTTTGCTTTCTGTCTAAATGACCCCTAGAATGTGACTTATAATGAGGCCTTGTCTGTTCAATCATCTTTAAAGCTACATCTTATGTGAATGTCAAACGATGGGATGAGATAAGGGCCTGGACTAATGATTGATTTGATAATGCTGGTTTGCACTCCACCCCATTTTGGGAAGGTTTGTCAAGGTGAGAGAGAAGGATTTAAAAAAAAATAAAATAATGGCATGGAGTCCCCCCCCCCCAAATCCATGACAGACCCTTATCCGAACATGCAGATACCGCATGCCTTCAAAGATTTATTTCCTTTGTTGAATTGCCTGCTTGGTTCACACTAGATGCGATTTAAAATTGTGCTTTTTGTTGGCAATTTCACCGTGTTTTCTGTAGATTTACCAATGAGTTATTGCGTTTTCAATTGTGTTTTGCATTGCGATTTCTATTGTAGTCTATATGTGAAATCGCTACAAAATGCAGAAAAAGTTAGACAAGAACTACATTTGAAATTGTGCTGCGGCAAATTGCTTACGTTAAGACGCTCATATCCACATTCATTAGATCCGATATCAGGTACAATTTCAATTCCCAAATTGCACCTGAAATTGTGCACCCTGGATGTGACTTGGTATGCGATTTCCATGCCCTGCAACTTGCAAATCGCACCCAATGTGACCGGGGACTAACACCACAGTCACATCTAATCTGATTTGGAAATTAGGCAATTTACAGTGAAGTCGCACGATTTCAAAATCAGATTGGATGTAAATGGAGCCTATAGTGGACAATAGGGTGCGACTTGGCCTATGATTTGCAAGTCGCCTAGCATGCAAATCCATGCCAAATTTCACCCAATGTGACTGGGGGCCACCCCGGTCACATCAAAGCGGATTTTGAAGTGGTGCAACTTACACTATGGTCACATCATGTGACTTACAGTGAAGTCGCATGATTTCAAAGTCGGGGGACATGCTGATTTAACCACTAGCCTACAGGGCACTTATTCCCCCTTCCTGCCCAGGCCAATTTCCAGCTTTCAGCGCTGTTGCACTTTGAATGACAATTGAGTGGTCATGCAACACTGTACCCATATGACATTTCTATAATTTTTTGTGACAGATAGAGCTTTATTTTGGTGGTATTTAATCACCTCTGGGTTTTTTTTATTTTTTTCTTAAACAAACCAAAAACTACTGAAAATTTTGAAAAAAAAAAAAAGTTTTTCTTAGTTTTTGTTATCAAATTTTGTAAATAGGTGATTTTTCTCCTTCACTGATGTGCGCTAATGAAGCTGTAGTGATGGGCACTGATAGGCTGCACTGATGGACACTGATAGGTGGCACTGATGGGCTCTGATGAGGAGACACTGGTAGGTGGCACTGATGGCATTGACATGCATCACTGATTGGCACTGAAACGCAGCACTCATATATGGCACTGATAGGCGGTACTGATAGGTGGCACTGATAGGCGGCACTGATAGGTGGCACTGACTGGCACTGGTAGGTGGCACTGACTGGCACTGGTAGGCGGCGGCACTGATAGGTGGCACTGACAGGCACTGATAGACAGCACTGATGCACACTGATAGGCAGCACTGACTGGCACTGGTAGGTGGCACTGATTGGCAGCATTGATAGGTGGCACTGACTGGCACTGATGGGTGACACTGAAAGGCAGCTCAGATGGGCACTGATATGTGGCATTGATGTGGCACTGAAATGTGGCACTTATGTGGCACTAATGGGCACTGAAATGTGGCACTGATGGGCACTGGCAAGTGGCATGGATGAGCACTGAGAACTGGCACTGATGGACACTGACAGGTGGCGCTGCTGGGGCTACACAGATCATCAGGGCAAACTGATCATCAGTGCTCTGATGATCTGTGTATATGTCGCCTCCGAGGAATGCCAATTACCTGCTCTCCTCTCCTCATGAGCTGTCAGCGTGACAGCTAGTGAGGAGAGAAATGCCGATAAACGACATTTCCCTGTTTACATGCGATCAGCTGTGATTGGACACAGCTGATCACATGACCGAGCCGACATCTTCGGCTCTTTCCATTGATCAGTGATTCGCTGTGTCCGAGGGACACAGCGCACTGCCGATCGCGCGCTACGCGCTCACGGAGCCAAGCATGCGCGGTTAGAATGGGAGGACGTCATATGACGTCCTCCCAGAATGAGAGAACCGCCTTGCATCCCTCATTCTACTATATGGCGGGCGGGAGGAGGTTAAAGTGCGATTTGCAAGACATCTGACACAGATCTCTCTGCAAATTGCATGAAAAGTAGTATATTCATTACTTTAGAAATTGTTGCGGTTCCGACCAAGTTTGAACCACACCAATATGAATGCTCTAATAGTGGTCACATTGAGTGCAACTTAGCCTGTGATTTCCCTATTGTCTGCTATTAGAGCAGTCACATGGGTGCGTATCTGACACTGATTTCTAAAGTAGTACATGTACTACTTTTGTGGCGATTTGCATAGATATCTGTGTCAGATGTCTTGCAAATCGCAAGGAAATCGGCATCTTCACTGTACGTCGCATAATTTCTAAATCGGCTTTGATGTGACCGGGGTGTAAGGCCTTTTTATGCTTGATTTCCTGAGTGTTTTTTCCGATTTATGGGAAATCCCGCATACTAGCAAAGGTGAATTGACATTTTCAGTATTGCATGCGAGATGTGGTCATGTGACTGTCTTAACTCAGGCAATAATCTGGAGTGAATTGTGCCCATAGTGCCAATAAATACTGCCATGGGGTTCCCTTTCACATCCCTGTTCAATGTTCTGTTGTATGCTGCACAGGTACACTTCACTGTGGCTTTCTTTCTGACTCTGATTTGTGGGGCCTGTATACCAAGGGTTAACACAGGTGGGAAGAGAATTAATCAGGTGCAAACAATTTCTCTGACTAAATGAATGACAGTGGTGGGTGTGACCTATGTTATATAAAGAGTTGCAGTAGTGGGTGATTTTTGCCTTGTACAGCCCATGTTATTTTCTGCAAGTTCCTGCCTGTGGTGGTTTTGGGGAGGAAGAGACATTGTGGTGAATTGCCCCAGGTCACACTCGTGCTGTTTTGATGTGGGTTGTAAATGTTTTGCATTTTATTCCTTCTAAGGTGTGTTTGTGTGTTTATTATCTTTGCATTGTAATCCTAACACGTTGATTGCTCTGCTCTTCCAAACCTGCACTGGCTATAGTTTGCTTTATGTAGACTGAAATGCAGTTTTCAGACAAACCTGATGAGAAATGTATGTGTGGGGGATTTGGGGAGGTGGGAGGTGTTTTATTTTGGCACTTATGTATTTTTATATTGATATTTTGATCTGTAGCCTGTTTTGTGGATAGATAAGCCTACTACGTGATTCATATTAACAGTTTGTTTCCTGCTGTAACCTGTGAAAGCACAATTCATTAGAAGTATAATCTTTTAGATTGTAAGCTCTTATGAGCAGGACCGTTCTATTTTAGCAACATCAATCCTGCTTTTTTTTTTTCACCAAGAAATTGAATGTACCTACTTGTTGTTGCTGTCCAAATAAATTTGGACTATGTATTTTTTGGGGGATTATTTCATTTTCTAGTTGAATGTACTAGCACCCCTAACACATATTTTTGCTAGCTATATAATATGCACAAATCTTCCTTGTTAGAGTGCACATATGCAAGTATGTCCAAACTAACAAACCGAAAGCCCCCTATTGTACCACAAGACCATGTTATGTACCAATGAATATTTTTTTTTATTATTACACTCCATATTAGTTTATGTAATTTGTATGTATAATCGGGTACTACAATCAGTGTTGGTATTTGTTTATATTCATAGTAGGATGATTTTTTGTTTAAAATTTGTATATGGTAATTTTTCTTGATTCTTAAGATGTGGACCCCTATGACTTTTGTGGATGTACTAATATACAGGTGTACTAATATACAGGTGAAACTCAAAAAATTAGAATATTGTGCAAAAGTTAATTTATTTCAGTAATGCAACTTAAAAGGTAAAACTAATATATGAGATAGACTCATTACATGCAAAGCAAGATAGTTTAAGCCGTGATTTGTCATCATTGTGATGACTATGGCTTACAGTTCATGAAAACCCCAAATCCACAATCTCAGAAAATGAGAATATTGTGAAAAGGTGCAATATTCTAGGCTAAAAGGGTCTCACTCTAATCAGCTAATTAAGCCATAACACCTGCAAAGGGTTCCTGAGCCTTTAAATGGTCTCTCAATCTGGTTCAGTAGAAATCACAATCATGGGAAAGACTGCTCACCAGACAGTTGTGCAGAAAACCATCATTGACCCCCTCTATAAGGAGGGAAAGCCTCAAAAGGTAATTGCAAAAGAAGTTGGATGTTCCCAAAGTGCTGTATCAAAGCACATTAATAGAAAGTTATGTGGAAGGGAAAAGTGTGGAAGAAACAGGTGCACAAGCAGCAAGGATGACCACAGCCTGGAGAGGATTGTCAGAAAAAGGCAATTCAAAAGTGTTGGGGACTTTCACAAGGAGTGGACTGAGGTTGGAGTCAGTGCATCAAGAGCCACTACACACAGACGGATCCTGGACATGGGCTTCAAATGTCATATTCCTCTTGTCAAGCTGATCCTGAACAACAAACAATGTCAGAAGCGTCTTACCTGGGCTAAAGAAAAGCAGACCTGATCTGTTGCTCAGTGGTCCAAAGTCCTCTTTTCTGATGAGAGCAACTTTTGCATCTCATTTGGAATCCAAGGACCCAGAGTATGGAGGAAGAATGGAGAGGCACACACTGCAAGATGCTTGAAGTCCAGTGTGAAGTTTCCACAGTCTGTGTTGATTTGGGGAGCCATGTCATCTGCTGGTGTTGGTCCACTGTGCTTCATTAAGTCCAGGGTCAACGCAGCCCTCTACCAGGAGATTTTGGAGCACTTCATGCTTCCTTCCGCAGACGAGCTTTAAGGGGATGCTGACTTCATTTTCCAGCAGGACTTGGCATCTGCCCACACTGCCAAAAGCACCAAAACCTGATTCAATGACCGTGGGATTACTGTGCTTGATTGGCCAGCAAACTCCCCTGACCTGAACCCCATAGAGAATCTTTGGGGCATTGCCAAGAGAAAGATGAGAGACATGATACCGAACAATGCAGAAGAGCTGAAGGCCGCTATTGAAGCATCCTGGTCTTCCATAACACCTCAGCAGTGCCACAGGCTGATAGCTTCCATGCCACGCCGCATTGAGGCAGTAATTGCTGCAAAAGGGGCCCAAACCAAGTACTGAGTACATATGCATGCTTATACTTTTCAGAGGTCCGATATTGTTCTATATACAATCCTTTTTTTAATTATTGCATGTAATATTCTAATTTTCTGAGATTGTGGATTTGGGGTTTTCATGAGCTGTAAGCCATAATCATCACAATTATGAACTTGAACTATCTTGCTTTGCATGTAATGAGTCTGTCTCATATATTAGTTTCACCTTTTAAGTTGCATTACTGAAATAAATGAACTTTTGTACGATATTCTAATTTTTTGAGTTTCACCTATATTCCATTAGAGCTCAATGTCCTTTTGGCAGTTGTATGGACGCCCGGAGCATAGTCATCCTTCTACAACTTGGTTGACTCGCCTTTATATACAGCCGCAATTTCTGCAAGGCTCCAAATAGTTTGAGATATAATATATTTAACTTAGAAGAACCTTTATCCAATCTGGCATTTATTATTATGTCCATAAATGCAGGAGATAGAGAATGCACCTTCTGGTTACATTTTTTTTTTTCTTTGATAGAATTGATGCCATTTGATTTTCTATTTTTATTTTTGAGCGTTTTTGATTTCAGTATTTAGGGGGCAATAGAGCAAAAGACTGATTTGTCTGGAACAATCTCCAATTTGCTTAATTTTGTTTTTCATTTTTTTATTTAGTTATTCATGTTTTTGTTGACTAATTCTTTATAAAACTTCTTTTGGCCGTAATTTTTCTTTTCAGCCACAAGATGGCAGTAGAATTGGGGTCTGGTCTAATCAAGCCAGCTTTGCTGAAGTTCTACCTGTTTTGTTCCCTCCCTTAATGAGTCATGTCCTGTCAGACTTTTATTGTAGTAATAGATTAATGAGAGCCTTTGCACATGCGTAGTTGTATCTTAGACATCCACACCCGGCCGATGATGTCATACGTCCTCCCGCATGGAGGATATAAAAGAGGGCGGGAAATTTAAAAATGCTTTCTGCTAATCACCAATGCACACTGAGTATCTTGGAGGCTGTTTTGGATCTGAACGGAGGTATTTAAATTGATCTATTCAATGGATGGGCTTCAAGAAAATGGTGACTTCTCTGTCACCTGAGGGCTTGCTCTATATTGCATTCTAACAGTAGTGATTGTTTTTTCAGCTAATATCTTCTGGACCTTTGTCCTTTGCTGACATCTAGTGGTGGAATTGAAAATTGATCCTCAATTAAAATCCTTTTTCCCTACATTTTCTTGATTTCTTTTTTGAAATTAAATTAGTTTCTGATTTTTGTCTATCCTATTTTGTCTAGATTGATGTTTGATGTCCATTGTTTCCTCTCTTATGGTTGTGAACATGTAGGTCAAATAGATCTTTGTTAGGTTATACCTATATATACTTCTAAAGCATTTAACAGGTAAAATTGCCCAAAGTTTACCTCAACCTATTGAATTATGATCTCTTCATATCTTCCGTTAAATTTAATTAATCTTTTTTTGTCTATCCCATTGTGCCTAGATGATATCTGATGCCCATTATATCCTCTACAACTGTTTTGGACGTGTAGGCCAATTAAGATCTTTTTTAGGTA